GTGCTTGCCCAGTACAACGATTCATTCGGAAAGTCCCACTGGCAAGCGGCAAAGAGGGTAATGCGTTACCTAAAAGGCACCGTGGACTTGGGAGTCAGATATCAGGTAGGGGACTCTCCCATTATGGGATATGTGGATGCGGACTCCGCCGCGTCACTAGATGACAGATGGTCATTCACCGGATATGTGATCACCATGAGCGATGGACCTGTAACATGGGACTAAAGAAAGCAAAGGACAGTTGCGATATTCACAACAGAGGCTGAGTTCATGGCTTTGAGCGATGCTGCCAAGGAGGCCACACACCTTCGAAGCTTCCTGGCTGAATTGGGAGAGGTCGAACTCGAGGCGCTGACCCCATACGACAACTTCAGCGCTCAGAGACTTTTTTTTATTAACTTCTGCTTTATTCACAATTAGTTATACATAACTTTCGGTGAATGTTAGGACATATGTACACTATCACAAAAAAACTAGTTTATTACTGGGAACAGTGATGGCCCAGTGGCAACTCACTGATCTGTACACGAGTTCTAAAGGAGTATGTTGCCAGTGGCGTCTTGTGGGTCCTCGCTGATTGTCCAGTAGGTTTCAACGCGCCAGGTAGTTTCGGATGGTTTCAGGCTCTGCTGGATATCTGAAACTGGTAATTATTTCTTTACAGTTTTTACTTGCAAGTCATTATGACGAATTACATGGATATTATCCAAGGGAGGCATTAGCAGCAGCGGGCGCATAGCTTTGACTGATAACCTTTGTAATATTTCTAGATGTGAGTGCTTGCTAGTACCCGCATAGTTGAATGCCGTAGGCTCCAGATTGGCATCTCAGCTTACTTTAGTACAACAATCATTTTGTTTTTGACTGACAAACCCGTTTGCGTCCTAGTAGCCAGTACATCTTTTTGAACTTGAGGTGCTAGTTCGCTTTCCTTTAGTGGTTATTGTTTTTTCCACGTTAAACGTCTTCTAGATGCATACCTAGATATTTTTACCGTGTCTGCCTGTGGTATTAGTTTATCATCTCATTTTGATTGAGGGGCATGTATCTTTCTATTGGTGGAAGGTCACGTGGGGTAGAGCTTTGCTTCATTGCACGATCGGATTCTCCATCTTTTAAATTCGCATTAGATATTTTGTTAAGTGTTCCTAGAGCACTTCAACGTCTTTTTCCAATGATTTCCATGACTCGTTATTACGTGTGTCGTCCGCGTATGTTTGCTGTTGTGAACGTTTTTAGATGATGAAGATTCTGCTGTGTAAAGAAGATAGAGCGACGGTCGCCAGTAACGCTCTTGTGGCACACCAGACTGTGCGGGGTGTAATTTTGAGTAGAGCTTCTTGTTGTTTTACTTGGAAAACTTTCAAGGAGATATGACTTTAAAAATACAGTAGAATTCTGATGGTAAAGATGCTTTAACTTTATATAATAGGCCACGTGTGCCACACTTTTTCGAAGCGCGTGGTAGGCGACATGCTATGACGCGGCTGACAGTATTGCTTTCTTCCAGACCTTTATAATTTTCGGTTTACTTATTCTAATGCACTTGTTGCGATTGTAGAGTGAAATTTCATGAATCCAAAACTGTATTTGGGTATCGATTATTCAATTTGTGGACGTTAGACGTGTAAAAGCAGCTTCCTCTAGTGACTTCGAGATTGTTTGTAGTAAATGATGGTCTGTACGATGAGACGTCTATGAGTATGGGTTTACAGCGCGGGTTTTGGTAACAGAATTTATGCTGAGCTACGCTTCATTGAGAAAGGATAATAATGCCAATTCTTAATTAACTGGCGTTGAATATTGAAGGTATTAGATATTTTGCTTGCTTGGGTAATTTGTTCAATCACTTGCGCCGGTTATTAAGTCATGTCGCTGGGGCTTTGATGCGGGCGTTAAGTTTTGTATAGCTTTTCTATTCATAAGTTGTGAATGCTTGAATGGGCAGAGACATTTGCAAGGAGTTTCAAGATATGCTCGTATCTCAGCGTCTCGCTTCTGCGTTCAGTTGGATTGATAAAGCTGGAATACGTTTGCAAGGTGTTGTGCAAATGCTGCTGCTTCTCGGCGTTACTTCTTGCCCAGGAACCATTCTTGCGCGTAGTAGCGGAGGAATTGTTGCAGTTGCCGTTTTTGACATCTTCTAGTTGCCCTGTCACAATGAAAAATCGGATTTCTTTAAAGGGCGATAGTTCCTAAGATATATCTATTCATTCGTTAATTCTTCAAAGTTTGAAGCATGCAATTTGTAAATCTCGTAGCATTGCTGCTGTTCAGTTTTCTTTTATCTAAGTGGATGTCTTGTTTCTTGGTAGGTTCTTTTGTATTTCCTTTTGAATGCAAATTTTTCACTTGATGTGCTTTGGAAGTATACTATTGTATTTTTATTAGTTGAAATTATGAGTGCAATGCCCATGTCTGCGTCTATGTATACATCTCGTTAAATGTTCCAACTGCTATCATCTACTCATCGTTTATTCTCAGCGAAGCTGAACCAATAAATTATCTTCTATGTAAAGCTGGAATCATCCCAAGTCAGTATTTGCAGTTGGTTAGGTTCAATTGTTCTCTTGAAGTGATCGTATGAGTACTATTTTGTAAGATAATATGGAGTAGTGTCCGAGCTGAGATGCAGCGGCATGCTTCAGTTTGTATAAAAATTGGAAAATGCCCTTACAATAAAGAATCATACAGATCTGATTTTGCAGGTAATCTGTTGGCAGTAAGTAGGTTGCCCGGTGAGTGGTACGAACAAGTTCATGGAAGATAATAGCTTTGTTTATACTCCTCATCTCTAGTTGTGTTTGCCTGGAACCCAAGTCCGTTTTCGCATTATGTATATCTCACGACGCATGAATCTTAGTTCCAAGTGATTCAAAAAAAGTTCTTTGCAAATCGTTCACATTTATTTTATTGTTAGGTGCGACAATAGACGGCACTGAAAGTGCTTAAGGGTCCATGCGAGCTCAGTTGATACTGGATTGTCCGTTGCTTGTAAATGTTCTCACGATATTCTCTATTTCATGGTTCGCTAATAGAATTTCTTATTAGATGGCGTCTTCATGGCATTTCACTACGGATGATTTGTTGAATACGTAGATAAAGTTCGCGAAATTTAATATGGCTCTTAGTCGTCAAGTGGCGTTTCGCGACACTAATTAATTATCATCTTTGCATTATTATGAGAAAAAGTTCGACTTCTCCTCTTCTCGATTCGAGACCGTTTGCCATTCCAGCTGTGATGATTAACTGCGATTCCGTCATTTTGCATACAAGTTCGACGTGAAGATTTATTAGCGTGCTTAATTTGTTATCGCTTCGCTTAGCTAAGGGAGATTTTCAAATTTGCGAAACAGATTCTTGTAGCAATATTTTTCAAGTTCACTTTCGCAGAGCGGCTGTTTGATTAGAAAAAGTTCGCGCGTAATAGTTGATTCACTGTAGAAGTGCCTGTGTTTTCTTGAGGAATATTTGCCGGAAAATCTTTTTACATAGATGGTAACGACATTTGGCATTTTTTGATTGCCATCATTTTTTTGTGGGTTCAGGGAATCTCTTCTTTTTAAGCAGTTATGATATATGGATACATCCTTTATTGTGTGAGCGACGCGATGTCTATCTCTTCGCAATCGTCGCACATTCTGGGATTAGCCTATCTTTGCTTTATCACAATGCTTCAATGCCGTGTCCTTCTCCGCCACAGAATGCAGCGCTTTATGTTTCGTGCCAATAACTTTTTTAGTGTGACCATAGGTCCAAGGCAGTTTTTACAATATGTATCTTTTCCTTCTTTTGGCGAACAGGTTTCGAACGAAACTATACACGTTGTTAAACGATTTATTTCATAAATACATATTATGTTGTTGGCTGTTCTAGCCGTCAACAAAAATAATATGGATAACTGGTGACCTTAGTAACTCGCGATGTTAGCATTATCAAATTTTACGAACTTAGTAGACGCATTTATTCTATTCTTGCTATGTAGCATTGCAACATTACTAGTTGACGGCATGAATATATTTCAATACTACTCTGAATGCTCGATCTTGCTTTACATCTTGATATGTTTATGAAACATCAATATTCTTGTTTTTCAGTGCTTGACGACGATGCGAAATGCATCGGATGTTGCCGTGCAATTATTTACATTGCTGATTATTAAGCAATTTGTAAGTGTAATCTCTTTTTAAGAACTTCTTGAATTAATTGTCTTCATTCCAGTTATATCTTCTACTCCTGGAATGAATATAGGGCGGAGGTTTATGTTGCGTATTAGATCTGTTGGGTTGTGATGATTACTTCAACATTTTCTTGTCTACTTAGCAGTTCAATATATGTTCGTAAGTCACGACATGAAAGAAGAATTATCTTCCCGCCGCGGCGACTCGTCTGTCCTGATCATCTATAATTTTACGTTTTGTATTTCTATACGAACTTTTGCCAAGAGTTTGTTCTTATCTTTAGAATTAGTGACACCACTTGCAGTATTTAATGAGATTCACTTGTATTATATTGAAAGAGTTTGACTTACAGGTGTTGCATTGCTCATTGGGCTGGCATCGTTTTAAATGCTGGTTTGCGAAAATTTTTTGTTCAAGTTAGTTGTATTTGCTGATGCTGACGTTGTATTATGTTTTGCTGTTCGATTAACTGTTGCTGGAACATTATTTGTTGATTTGCGGAAGCTTCATTTATATTGATCCATGTGGCGACGGTCACTATGGCTTCGGCAATGGCACTGGGCCGAGGCCATCACTTACTAATTCGTTATCACTTATTTTCTTTAGTAACACCACTATTGGACTGAAAGTTACTCATTTTATTCAGATACTAGAATATATTTTTCGATAACTAAGCTATAAAAACTGTTTTAGCACTGTTTACGTTTCGGCACTCGCGGGATGAAACAGAAACACGTCCGTTCACCTCGGAGTCACAAAGAGAATACGCTCAGAGACTGGCGACAAATCCGGTCTTTCATTCTTGAACAAAGCATACAGATGTTCGCCATCACTTGGTTTCGGGAAGTCGTGGAGTCAGGGCTACTCAAGTTGGAGCATCTGGCATCGGTGGACATGCCAGCCGACATCTTCACCAAGGCCTTGACAAGGTCGAAGCATGAGAAGTGCGTGGAGCTGCTAGAACTGGTGAATGTCAAGGGAAGTGGAGGGTATTGTCTCGAAGGAAAGTGTTGGGGTTATCGACAGGGCCATAAAATCCCATCAGGAGATCGCCTATCGATATGCCGAGCAATCGACTGATGGTCCTGTGTGCTCTTTGTCTTGAGCAGTACTGTGTCTGTGACCATCGAGGAGAACGCGTGTGGCTTGGTGTGTGCTAGAAGTGAGTTGTGCGTCACGAGTTGTAATCCGCCAGAATCCGCCCGTAATTAGGAAAAGATCTGTCGCCAGACTAGGGTACGAGCTGTCCATAATTACATTATTCTTTATAATGGTAGGAATAACTATAACTAATGCGACTTAGCATTTTTAAGCAATTTTTTGTATCAGCATTGTTGAAATCAATTTTTCGAAGAATATTTGATTCAATGCATATCAGACAACATATTTAGCTGATCTTGATGCAGTGTAGCCCTCTGTTCAACTTTCATTCATTTTAATTTTCGAAACAATCACTCAGCCGAACAATTTGTTATTATTAATGTTAAAAAGTGCCTAGAATGATTTCCAAATTCGGAAAAATGTTCATCAGTTGATCATGTACTATTGCACTATTTAATTTCAGCATGTGTGAATTGAGTTTTTTTACTTTGATTGAACATAATTATGAAAAAGTTTTAATTCGGAATAAATGTCCAGCATAACTTCAGAATGAAAACTAATTAAATTTGAAGTATCCTTTTTAAATTGTTACTTTTTAATTTTCTTTTTCATTTGTTTACTTCTTTTTTCTTTTGTAAAAGTTATTTTCATTTGCTCAATTTGATGTCACCATAAGCATGTGATTAAACTTTGCTTCAAGGGAAATCCGCCACTCTTTGGCTATGCTGTATTGGCTTTCTATTTCTATATAAATCTACCTCCTATCATTGCTATCATTGTGTTTCATTGCAACATATCAAAAGTGGGTGTATGCAATAAGTGGCAAGTCAGCCAATAAATTCCAAGTAAAAAAAAAATCAAAAGAAATTTTGAATTTTCCTGCCAAGACCACAATGTTGCAAAGCTCCATTCTGGAATGGAGGCAAATGAATATTACACTAACAAGATAAACTCAGAATGTATTTAATCTATATTTTTTCACATGTTAATTTAAATTTTAATAATTTTTAAAATTTGGTTTCAAAAATATAAACTTGAATTTTACAATTTATGATACTGTGAAATTTACTTTTCAATATTTTATACACTACAATAATAGAAAATAATTTATTTTTCATGCTTTTACTGTTATTTTATTTTATTTTGAGTGATTTTATTATTTTCTTAATTATTTTTTTATTAATGAAAAAACTAGATTATTTTTTAAGGGAACCCTGGCCAATGCTAGTCATGCCTGTTGGGAAATCCAGCACTGTATCAAATGAAAAACTATTGACAAAACTAGATTATTATAGAATTGGGGGAGGAGTTAATGGCCTTATTAGATCAAACCTCACAAGACAGTAGCAATGTACAGAGATTTTCTGGCACTCTGAAAATTCTTAAATCAAATTCAAATCAAATTTTGATGCAATTACCACAGGTGTTCCACAATAATCAATACCTGGACCTTTGCTAGTATTTCTAATATTTTTTACTGATATTCTATTCTCTAATTTCTCTGTAATATCTAATGCCGATGATACAACATTAATAAGTAGTTGGCAAAATCTGTCATACAGAAACTAAATGATAAAATGTCAGTTTCAAGTTTCATTACAGGTACCAACACAAAACCTTTAAAGTGGAAGTAGGCAATGAATCAAACAGTCATAAATTTTCAGGAATATAAAGATCAAAATCTAACTTTTACAAACATGTCGACACTTGTTGTGGGCTGGGATCCTGATGTTTCGACCATCACACCATGGTCTTCTTTAGGCTATAACAGAGAGTTTATTCGGGCAATAATATTCTGGCATTACAGCCCAGAAGAAGACTTTGATGGTCAAAACAGCAGCATTTCAGCCTTTGACATGGTGTTACCGAGACTGCACAGATCATGACTTAGGCCATGGATACCTTTGACATCATATTGACTCACTTCGTTATAAAATAAGCTCCAGTATATTCCTTTTGAGATATTTTACCAGATACCTGGAAACAGATGCAGTTCTTTCAATCTATTATGACATATAATTTTCACAACTTCAACATTGTAGTGATATACGGGGAGGTTCAACACAAACAAATATTAATTGATTGATGGTTCTACAAAAGAAATCAATCAAACATTTTCAAACTGAATTTGAGAAGCCCTGTAAAGATTTCTTTATCAGAATCAATGTCTTGTTAGTAATACAGAGATACATAACTATCATATTAGAGGACATAGAGAGTAAATCAGGATATATGCTAGGAAGCCTTCAACTAACAAAAATCCATTCTGCATTATGGCACAGCTTTTTAATAAACCCCCATCAGCTGATAGTAAATACTTCAAAATACTGCTTAAACATCAACTCATTCATGTTTGTCCATATAAACTTATATCTAGGTATTTGATCTGAAAAATACTATAACAAAGATTTACCACAGTAAAGCAAAAAATCTTTATTGTGGATGCACATATTTTTTTTATTTCTGTTCTCTTCTTCAGAATCTGATGTGAAATTATGATTCTCTTCATTTTGGTTTGGTAGAAAGTGTAGTTAACTGGAGAAATATTTCGAAACAATTTATGAGAACATTAATCTTTTTCATTGAAAATTTCCTTCCGGTGGGGTACAGTTTGGGCTTAACTCAATAATATCAAATACTTTCTGTATTCTTCAATGCTTTCATCACATCAACATTGATGAAATGTTAATGTCTTCTGAATGTGAATTTTTTTTTCTTTCTTTTTTCGGTCTTGGGTTCACTTTCTCCAGATCCAATTTAAGCCAGACACCTTTATGTTATGTCACTGGTTGTGTTCCTGTTGATAATATATAGCAACAAGTCAGCCAATAAATTTAAAGTGAAAAAAAAAAAATAAAGGAAATTTTGAATTTTTGCCAAGAGCGCAATGTGGCACAGAATGCATTGCATCTATATTTTTTTTCACATGTTCTTTGCTCTGTTTAACACAAATATCATATGATATATATTTATATATATATATATATATATATATATATATATATATATATATATATATATAAATAAAAACAGTACCACAACTACAAAAAGTGACAACATTTCTTTTTCTTCACCTTCTCCAATGAAGGTATTGGGATTGAATCATTATTTTCTTCATAATTGCAAAATTCTTGATAACACAATGAATAGCTGTGTCCCACCAAAGCAAATGTTATTGTGGGGTGGTTATATTTCCCTCCTAAATAATTCAGCTTTCAATAAGTTTCAAAGCACACTCATAGCTAATCAATGAGGTATGAAAGTTGATAACTTTTTCCAAACATGAAGCTGAAAAATTATCTGTTTTTAAACCAGAATTGTAATGATTTTTACAAAGTAGTGGTTTGGTCCTTTGGAATCTCAGCAGTGCAATTAACATAAATTTGATTAAATTTATACTTTTAGATAATGTGAAATTCAACCACATTGTGGCCAAATAAAAACTTAAGAAGAGTGTGATATACACACTCATGTTTTCATACTGAAAGAACATATTTGACAAAGCTGGGCATGAAAGAAATGAAATACGAAAGAAATTTTCAACACGTGAAAATATTTTTAAAACGATTTACAGCGTCTGTGGTACCACATTTGCTAGTAGGTATGTATGTGGAAAAGTAAAAACATTTTTCACATGTGTTTTAGTGGTTTATTGCTCTTTGGTTTTATAAAAACATGGTAGATTTCTGAAATCACAAATAATCACTATTCTTAATTGATCTCGTATGCTGGCCTCTATTAACTTCCACCAGTGGCGTAACTACCGCTGGCCCAGCAGGAACAATTACCTGGGGGTCTCGGACAAAGGGGTCCTCAAAAGCAAATTTATTTGGCCTAACTGAAGAATCCTTCTTTCCGACTTTAATGAACCCTTCTGAATGTGATTTGTTTATTCCCATAAATCACATAGTTTAAATACGTATATAGTTTTAATTATGTATTTTATTATGAGGATGCGAAGATATTTTCCAATTTGTAATCTGACATCCCAGGGCCTCTAATTATTTCTTGCTTCATTTTGATCCACAAATGAGGTATCTACGTCTTACTATGTGTTCCAGCAAATAATATTCCCTATTGGTGATTCGGTTCAGACGTGCTGATGTTTTGCAATCTTTACAAAAAATAATTTTAACAAGCATTCATGTATTGGAGAAATAGATTTTTAAGTTCCAGGCGATAAAGGATTGCTAGTATTACTGCTTAGTGTTCTGATTTGGCATTAAGAAATGATAGTCCTAGAAAGATGATCAAAGTACATGCCTTTATGATGCAGGTGAATGTTTTGTGAGTCATGAATTTTCCCATTATTAGTTATATTCTGTAATGTTTTAATTTGTTTGTGGAGTAATTAACTTTATGATTTCATTGATAAGCTTTCTCATTCATCAGTTTTAATCTGTTTTTTATATTATTTGTACTTCTCATTATAAAAGGGATTCTTAGTATCTTTGAACAGATCATCCATGTTTTTCATCTTTTCATTCCAAGAACTAATTTTATTAGGAATCCTAAATCTGGCTTTCTTCTCTACATTAATTTGCCTTTTAATATTAGGACACGCAATACTCAAATGCTTATTTAATGTTCTCAAGACCACATTCCATTTCTGGTTGATATCATTACCATTCCGAACTTCAATCCATTCCTCTTTAAGGAGACGTTTATTTAGCAATTGTTGTTTGGTACATTTGTATCACGGATGAATGTGCGTTTAGGTTGTTTAAGGCTGATGGGGCAATTGATTATTTCAATTATTCGTGCAGTGTGATATGAATATACAACATTAAAAGAAGAGTATTTATACATTTCAGTGTTTGAAATGATGTTGTTTATAGTACAGCAGGAATGAGTTATAACATGTATTGGCCCTAACTCCACATCGAGGAAACTGAAATTTTAGTAAATCATTATGTTCAATATTAATGTTAAGATTTCCCAAAATAATTTAATTACAATTGTCTTATTTTCCTAAAAGT